GGCGGAGGTTGCGGTGAGCCGAGATCGCGCCATTGCACTCCAGCCTGGGTAACAAGAGCGAAACTCCGTCTCAAAAAAAAAAAAAAAAAAGAATTTAAACATCGAGAACAAAACTTTAAGTTTTGCAAGAAAACTAAGTGCAGGTATTTTGAACTTGCGGCAGGAAAGAATTTCTTAGGCATAAAATCATTTATCATAATTAAAAAGATTAATAAAGTCAGTTAAATTAAAATTAAGAACTTTTGTTCATTAAGGCACATTAAAGAAAGTGAAAAGACACATCACAACTGGTGGATATCTGCAATACTGTTAAGTGGCAAATCAGTAAGGAAAAAGAAGCCAGCAACTCAATGGAAAAATAGGCAAAAGACACAAACAATTTACAGAACAAAAAACCCATAGGGCTTATAAATATACAAAGGGATGCTCAACCTCATTAACAATCAGGGAAAAGATGATCCAGATGACAACGAGATATCATTTGGGGCAAAAAAAAAAAAAAAAGAATGAGCTTGACAAGAGCATGGAGTAGATGCAGATCAATGGAATTTCCTCATCTTGCTGGTGGGAATGTAAACTAGCAAAACTACTCTGGAAAACATTTGACATTATCTTGCAAAGTTTAATGTTCACCCACCCTCTGATCTTGTAATTGATTTATAGATCTATACATAAGGGACACTTTCAACATTTGTATACAAGGAAATATGTCCAAGACTTTCAATAACAGTGTTGTTCATAATATCGAAAACCTGAAACAGCCCAAATTCCCATTGATAGGACAATGGGCAAATGAGTTGTGTTAGTTACAAGTTGGGATATTATACAGCATTGATAGTGAATAAATTATAGCCAAAATGAATTACTTCTGGTAAAATGTAGAGTGAGAAATGCAAGTTCCAGAATTAAACATAATATGGTATATTTTTTGTAAAGTTTGAGAACAGGTAAAACTAATGATACATTATATAGATAAATATATGTCATATATGATATATATAATCCATAATACATATGTTTAAATAGACACGGGTAATGAGACTACATTATAGCTGTGCATGTATATTTTTATAAAACTATTATTCTTATTATGTATTTATTTACTTTTTGAGATGGAGTCTCACTCTGTCTCCCAGGCTGGAGTGCAGTGGCATGATCTCGACTCACTGCAACCTCCATCTCCCGGGTTCAAGTGATTCTCCTGCCTCAGCCTCCCAAGTAGCTGGAATTTCAGGCATGCGCCACCATGTCCAGCTATTTTTTTTTTTTTTGTACATTTTGTAGAGACAAGGTTTTGCCATATTGCCAAAGCTGGTTTCAAACTCCCGACCTTAAGTGATCTCACCTCAGCCTCCCAAAGTGCTGGGATTACAGGAATGAGCCACCACACCCAGACTATAAAACTATTAAAACACAAGTAAATTATGCAAAATTGAATGTGATTGCCTTTAGAATGAGGTAGGCAGCGGATGGGTAGGCGAGGAGTCTATAGGAAGTTATGAGTTATAGTAATGTTTTAGGTCTTGGGATGGGCAGCAGATTTATTGGAGCTCACCGTATTTTTTAAGTAAAAAATGAAAGCTGGGCCCGGCGCGGTGGCTCACGCCTGTAATCCCAGCACTTTGGGAGGCCGAGGCGGGTGGATCACGAGGTCAAGAGATGGAGACCATCCTGGTCAACATGGTGAAACCCCGTCTCTACTAAAAATACAAAAACATTAGCTGGGCATGGTGGCGCGTGCCTGTAATCCCAGCTACTCAGGAGGCTGAGGCAAGAGAATTGCCTGAACCCAGGAGGCGGAGACTGCAGTAAGCCGAGATCGCGCCATTGCACTCCAGCCTGGGTAACAAGAGCGAAACTCCGTCTCAAAAAAAAAAAAAAAAAAATGAAAGCTGGCATGAGGCAATATATAGAGAATATCTATCATATTGCATTGCACATAGTAAACATTCAGTAGTCATTTTTTTGGCTGTTTGTGGTGGCTCATGCCTGCAATACCAGTACATTGGGAGGCCAAGGCAGGTGGATCACTTGAAGTCAAGAGTTCAAGACCAGCCTAGCCAATGTAGTGAAACCTTGTTTCTACTAAAAGTACAAAAAAATTAGCCAGGCGTGGTGGCATGTAATCCCAGCTACTCTGGAGGCTGAGGCAGGAGAATTGCTTAGACCCGGGAGGTGGAGACTGCAGTAAGCCGAGATCGCGCCATTGCACTCCAACCTGGGCAACAGACTGAGACATTGTCTCAAAAAAAAAAAAAAAAAATTCATTGTTAGTATACAACATAATTTCCTTCTCTGTAATTAATCTCCTTTCTCCATTTCCATTCATATTTCCCATTCACAACCTTCTGATTGAGACTATGCTATAAGGGGTCTCAATTTGGGGGGTTATTGAATCAGAGAAGGCAGAGAACAGATTCAGTCAAAGAAAAGCATTCACATTTACCTTGTAGTTTAAAAAATGGTCTTAAAGGTCAATAGCAAGACAATTATTTGAAAACATGCTTTTAAGTTGTAACATTCAAACTGTGTTGAGACAAAAAGATTTTCTCAAACTACCAAACTGGCATATATATATATATATATATATATATATACACACACACACACACACACACACACACATACATATATATACATACGCATACATATATACACACACACACACGTGTGTGTGTATATATCTACAAATCTGGAAAATTGGAGTACAGAATGGAATTTATAAGGATACAAACCTAGAAGTTTGTTGTATAAAATT